CACAGGGCGAGTACGGCCAGACGGGGCACAGGCCCGCACCCAGTGCGGAGGGCTACGCTGGAGCCCCAGGTAAGCCAGCCAGAGGGCACGTTGGAGCTTTGCGGGGAGTGGGCGTGCGGGCGGGCATTGGGCCAGGGTCCCTCCCAGGGCTCGCAGGCTGCCTGGCCGGCTGCATCACCACAGACCAGGCCAGCAGGATGGGCCCAAGCTGGCCTTTTGGGTTTTAGTATGTGGTGTTACTGGGATTGAACCCAGGGCCTTTGTCCCAAGCCGCACCGCACCGAGGTGTCCAGGTGGGCCTTGGTGTTCTCCTGCCTCAGCCTCCTACAGATGGGGGCTTTCCCAGATGCACTTTTCTTGCCTTGCTTTACTGGGCTCCTGGCCGGGCACCTGGTACATGCTGATGCTGGGGGCGGGGGCAGCCTCACTGTGTCTGCGGCTTTCTTTGCTGTGGAGCCTTTGGCACCAGCTGCTGTCTGGGATTGATGCTTCTGTCTTTCCAGGATACCCCCAGGCACCACCGGGAGCCTCCCCAGGTACGTGGCAGGTCGGGACCAGCTTGGGCAGGGTGGGAATTTCTGTCCTCTGTCCTCGCTCGTAGGGTCCGGCGTCCTTGGGTGGCTGTGGCTGGATCCTGTGAGGTCCTGACAGCTCCCTGAGGGCCCAGGACTCTAGGGCTCCCCCAGGTGACAGCAGGCAGTGTCATACCTGCCTGTTCTTTTTAGAGGCAAGGTCTCACTCTGTAGCCCAAGCTGGCCTTGAGCTTGTGACCCCTCCTGCCTCAGCCTCCTGAGGGCCAGGATGACAGCCATGGGCCGCCACACCCAGCTCCACCTCTCGGGTCCCATCTCCCTGGTGTGACTCAGTTTGTCCCAGGGGGGCTTCAGCCTTTGGACTAAGCGTCCCGGTGTCTTCCCTGCCCAGGACTCCCGGTGCCGGCCCTGGTGTCCTTTTCGGCCGGGCTCACCCAGAAGCCGTTCTCCAGCGACCGGGGCGTCATCCTGTTTAACAAGGTGCTGGTGAACGACGGGGGCGTCTACGACCCTGACACTGGTGAGCACCTGCGGGCTCCGGTCTGCTTTTGGCAGCGGCCGAGGTCCCGGCTCCTTCACTGTCCCCGTCCAGTTCCCCGGAGGCAGAGCGGCTCGGTTTCCTTCCCAGGGCTCTGGTTAGGAGCTGGTGACACAGGGAGCCAGGGGACGTTGGGTCCCTCAGAGGCTGCTGGTCG